GGTGAACCCCCCCTCCCCCAGTAACCCAATTTCCTCCATCATAAGCTGTCTCTGGCCTTTTATTGCCCCTAGGCGAGAAATCGCACTACCCTTCTCCTCCCCCCACCCTTCAGTTCCCCTTCCGCTGTGCTTACACCTACTATTGTATGCCGCCCGTTGCACGGGCATTTTGATGCTCCCCCACACGAATGCTTCTGATGTTTATTTGAGTTCTTTGTATCACAAAAACCTAATAAAACATATTGAAGAGAAGAAATCTGAGGGTTTAATGTCACTTGAAGTTAAATTTAGTGCCCCAAAACACTAAATAAAACAATTTATTTAATAAGATATAAAAGATGAGGTTACAATAAGTAAATAAATACCTGACATGACCGGGTTAAAAATTGCGTGCGTCCGTGAAACCGCGACAGAATTCAGTACCCTAAAAACCCAATAGACGACGCTTTAATAGCCCCCCACAGGTCATCAGTTTAGGGATAGGTGTATATGGACCTCATATCGGCTGATTCATTTGATATGTAATGTAAGTTGGCACAATAGCTCATCAGCAGCTGGTAATACGAGTATAATCCACTCATCCATCTCATCCACCATCAGCTCCGCACTCACTGTTTCCTGTCTGGTAAGCACTCATTAAGCAGGCAAGGAAGGCTTGGCCACCGAACGCGTTGGCATTTGTATACAGTCTTTCATTTTAATTTACATTGGAATGAACTTTTATCTGGGCTTCCATGTCATGGTGTGATGCTTCAATTCTAGATCTTCTCCTTCCCAGTGCCGGATTGTGGTGATTACGGTTGGAGGCCATTGGTAGAAAGTTTCTTATCACTCTTGTCGTAGTCGAGTCTTCCAGTATATAGTCTTCCTCTTATATTGTAGCTGTTTTCTTCCTACAGATCCCAGACCTGATGTCCATGGTAAGTCCTCTGAGTTCACTGATTCAGAAATCCCATGTCTGATCATCAATGGAACAAGCAATGAAGGTGTAGAGGAAGCCGAGGCCTGGATGAAGAACGTTCTCCAATCTCAACCCGTCTCCATACAAAATAACCTTGTCCTTCTGTTTGGGAAGGAGGAACACGATCTCCTCTCATCTTCCAATTTCCAAGATGTCTCCATCGAGGAGAAGCTGAGTAACGGGACATCAGTTCTGAAGGTCGATGGTCTCCCCCAGGACAAGGTCAGAGCCGTCATACAGGTGGAGCGACTCCTCTTAGATGTACAGGAGAAGCATGCTGTGACCTTGGAGGAGGAGCTGCTGGAGGCGGCTGTGGTTTGGTTCTATAGAAATAAGAGTGGAGTTCGGAGATATCCAACCAAAGCCAACCGAGAGCTGGAGAAAGCCTTTGTGACCCAAAGTGACCTCACACTGACATCAGAACCCCATCATGTGATCTGTATGAAGGACCTCACAGCAAAGGGGAAGGATGGAACGTTTCAGCTGCAGAGACAGAGTAAGTACCCCAATACATTGTACTACACCCCGGTGTCAGGGACTGGGGCTCATACAGCCTGTGAGGACCTCAGTGTCGTCTCACTATCCCCCATAGACATATGTTCTCCAAGCTGAGGGTGTCTATGGATAGGCAGAGGTCTCACCTAGAACGATGGGCATCCTCGGCCTGCTGTGATGTTCCCAACAGATACATCATAACAGCTAAATATGGAGTGCAAGCAGCTAACACTTCCCTATGTGTGACTGGCAGAAATTGCCCAACAATTTAGGAGATCAGCAAGTCAGGACCACAGAGAGAAGCAAACCATTTTTCTACATTTTTATCAATGCTTTTTTTTCTTTAATCAAGTTTCTTTGATACTGCAGAGCCAAGAGTGCTCACAGTGTAAACAGTTTCCCGAATTTCGGCATAGCCTTGAAAGCCGTACCTGGACCCAGTTGTGATAAAAATGCAGGGCAGGCCTGTATTGTGCTCTGCCAGCACTGGGGTCCGCTTAGGCGCCTACAGACACTGAGTGTATTGGGTAAGTTTGATGCAAAGCACTTTACAGGTGCAGGGCTGTGGTGCACCAGTCTGGTGCAATCCTGTCCATGAAGACACCTTAGGAATTTTGCCCACCGAGGGGCAAATACTGTCTGGTATGTGCATGTTAGTCCTGCATTGGCACTCTCCAGTATTGTACAGTCTGACTGCTGCAGGGGCCATCCAGACCACCACCGCAGTAAGGTACTAGGGCTCTGCCCTACACTATGGAACCTGTGCCTCCCCCTTCGGGGTTAGTGGGAACGTGGTGAGCTGTGACACCTTACTTGAGAGCCAAGACACCTGTTTAAATATGTTACACACCTTAATGGAAGGGCCACAAGACTTTGTTTAATGTGTTACATGCCCCCCTACAGCATTTGCTCCATTCTGGGCTATGCCCGTTGTGGATCCAGCCATCTTCTGTCTCTGCAACTGACTGTTGAGGGCATCTTAGTGCTGACTGATCATTCAGTTCTACATAAAATGGAGCTCATATCTCTTGCCCTGCACTGCAGTGTCCTTGGGCTGGTGGGTATTATACACATGATATCTAGAATAGATCTCCTGACTGTACACATGTAGAGGATCCTTTGGCTCAAGTACTGGTCTGTGTCTGGTCTATGCTGGTCACCTCTTTGGTGCATCCCTGGACAACTGTGTCAAGCTGTCACTGGGAGAAAGATCACCTTTTTGCCCCAGCAAAAGTAAAGGAAACCGCAGACGAGGAAACTGCCTACATCTGAAACTAAGCATAGTTTATTTTGTTTCTCCCAGTCCTCTAAGTCCAAACCTGAGACTCGGCTCTATTGCAAACCTTGGATTTTCAAAGCTGCACAGCCTACGAGTAGGTGCTCCTCACAATGAGGCATCTGTTAGCCTTTGTGGCTACTTGAACTGAAAGCATTTCAGATGCTTGGGTGCAGAATGTGGTTTTCAGGGGTTACAATTTAGACTTTCTGCTTTACCTCTGCTCTACTTCATGTTGTCAAACCTGGTAATGTATCCACAAAGACTAGCAGACTTTCATGCTACTCGGGCACAACCTCTCACTCGGGGAGTCACAGCCATTGTCCGGAAAGGGAAAGATTTCAGGGCTATTATTTTTGTTTCAAATTCTTTATTTGTAAAGGCAAGCAAGGTTTGCACCACAGTTACAGCCATGTACAAAACAGGCGGTGTCATCAGCAAGTACAATCGATGACAATATAATCCAGTGGCTTCTAGGTATATATAGTGCAACAATACTCTCCAACATGCAGCGTGGAGCCCCAGCAATACCTTTCAAGTTTTTTTTTTTTTTTAACACAACTGAGCGGCAGCCAGTGAGAGGTTCCTCTCACTAACTTACCCGAAAAACAAGAAACGGAAAAGGACATAAGAAAAGAAGATTAGAAAGATTAGAAAAGGAAAGCAATGCATCCCATCTCCCCCAACCCCTCCCCGATTCTCTCTGCAGTCCGAGGCACTCCTCAGGGGTCACATACGGGCAAGGAGTGTGTCGCCCCCTCTATACAGTCCAGGCCCTTCAGGCTAAGCGTGCCCTGGAGTACTCTTCTGAGTTTCGGAACTGAATCCATGTCGCCCAGGTAAGAACAAATTATTTTTGCGTGTCTCTTAGGGAGGAGGTCAGGTCTTCCATCGATGCAATCTCCTCCACTCTCTGCAGCCACATTGCAATTGAGGGGGGCTGTGGGCTCTTCCATTGAGCGGGTATGCACGCCCTCGCTGCATTGATCAAATGGACTGCCAAAGAGCGCTTGTGTGCTTTCCTCGAAAGGGGTGCAAGGTGGAGGAGGAAGACCGATGGGGTGAACGGCAGACCTAACCCAGTCACTGTCCATATTAGGTCAGCTACTCCATTTCAGGGCTATTATTTAAACAAGTTCACAGTTCCTGACCTTTCTTCCGTCTAGTCTGAATGACCTTTTTGCTGACTTCAGAAAATATCCTGACCCTATCTTGCCAGTGTACTACATGTGTACTACATGTTATTGTTGTAGTAAGAGAGGCCACCTTATCATCTCAGGCTCCCAACCTAGGAACTTGACACTCACATACTTCCTCCTGTATGTCCACCTGTGACTCTGGGTGATCTCCACCTGGTTATTTCAGTCCTTTAAAAACTGCCCATTGACCCCATCAGAGATATTCCTTCTGTTTACTCTTGTCCTCAAGGTAGCCTTCCTCATTGCCCTCACCTCTGCTAGTTGAGATTCTGAGTTGGTGGCCCTGTCTTGCAAAGAACCTTTTCTGTTCTGCACAGAGGTTGCCTAAGGGCCTAGGGCAGTGGTCTGAAAGTACCGGCCCGCGAGCCAGTACTATGTGGCCCGCAGCTAGCTCAGAGGTCAGGTACGCAGTCACGGACCGCGTACCCGACTTGCGGGAGCAGCTCCACAGTCTGCATCTATATCGGATGCAGACAGTGTAGCTGATTCTGCGCCGGCACTCAGATCCTTTTGGCCAACGCTCTTTCAGTGAACGCTGGCCCAAAGGATTGATTAGTAAGGTCTGTAGCAGACCTCACCAATCAAGCACTAGATCACCAGGGATCGATCCTCCTCACAGCCTCATCCCTGCAGAAAGGTAAGCAGGGGAGGGGGCTCTGTAGTTTATTTTACGTGCGGGGGACAACTGGGAATTATTTTAAATGTGTGTGTGGGGGGATGACGACTGGAGTTATAATATATATATATAAAAGTGTGTGTTTGGGGGGGGGGGGAGTAGAAGTGTATTTGGCTCCATTCACACTTGAATCTTTAGGTGCAATTAGGGATTCCTGCATCAGAAACTTGCGTTTTCCTGCAGCAGGAATCACTAATCTGGCGTTTACAAGCGGCCTCTGTCACCCATTCAAGTTAATGATCAGTTGACAGCAGCTCCATGTAAACGCATGTACACCGCATGTAATTATACGTGATATGATTACATTCGGTTAGGAATCAATCACTCTCCCTGGACGCAATGATTGTGCGTCCAGAGAGAGTGTTTTCTAACCACATGCAATCATATCACGTATAATTACATGCGGTGTACATGCGTTTACATGGAGCTGCTGTCAACTGATCATTAACTTGAATGGGTGACAGCGGCCGCTTTTAAACACCAGATTAGTGATTCCTGCTGCAGGAAAACGCAAGTTTCTGATGCAGGAATCCCTAATCGCACCTAAACCTACATATATGAATGGGGCCTTATTGTGTCTGTGTTGGTGTCTGTAGTACCAAACCGGATAGAGTTACATTTTATTTAAAGTAGGAAATTTGGTGAGCGGCCCCCGAGGGACTTGAGTTTGAGACCCGTGATCTAGGGCCTCCTCTCTACCTAAGGAGTTTTCTCCCTTTGATCAGGACATTGTACTTCCATCCCTTTGTCTAGTACATACCAAGGAGATTTCCCTCCACTGTTGGCTGTGGTTCGAGCTGTTCATGTTTATCTCTAGGCTACCTCTTCTTTCCTGAGGGAACCCGTAAGGGACGGACTTCCTCACATTCCACCATTTCTAGGTGGTTTGTGCAGCTCATCCTTCAGTCCCATAAGCTGTAGGTCAATGTTCCTTCTTTTCCTTTCAAGGCAAACTCCACTAGATCAGATAGTGCCGCTTAGGCTTTCAGCATCAGGCATGTGTTCCAGATTTCAAGGCTGCCACCTAGTCTTCTGGTCACATGTTCTCCGGGTTTTACCAGGTGGATGTTCAGTCCTCTTCTGGTGCTATTTTCAGATGTAGGGATCTTCAGGCAGATCTGTGAGGTTCACCCAGCCCCCGGGGTTAACATGTTGTTTGTTTGTGGGCCTGTCAGTGTGTTTGCCGTGTTGCTCACCACTCAGTTGGACAGCTTTTGGACATCCAAGTTGTCCTAACAATTACTTCTCCCTGTTCACTCTAATGAATGATTAAGAAAACAGAATTTTTTATTTACCATGAAATCCTTTTCTTGGAGCTCATTGAAGGACAGACCCCCTTGACGCCCGCAACGCTAGCCACACTCAAGCTCTCCTTCCCGTTTACCTGGACTCCCTCTCTAATATACTTGGGCATCCGCCTGACCCCGACCTATGAAACTCTATACGAAGCCAACATTCCCCCCCCCTCCCCCCCCTCCTGAAATCCCTCACTAATTTGCTGGTCTCCTGGCAGAGATTTCCCATCTCATGGATAGGGAGGATCCATGCAGTGAAGATGACCTTCCTGCCTAAGTTGCTCTATGTGTTCCGAACCCTGCCGATCCCCATCCCTGGCCATATCTTCCGCATTCTCCAACGCAGGATACTCGCGTTCATCTGGGGCAACTCCCGTCCCCGTATCAACCGAAAACTGCTATATCGCCCCAAGCTGCGTGGCGGTCTGGCAGTTCCTGATCTTCGCGCGTACTATACGGCTGCCACCATTGCCCCCCTAGCCCTCTTACACTCAACAACCGAGCTCCCGCTCTGGGCGTGTTTGGACATGGTGGACTGTCATCCCCTGCCCCTCACGTCCCTGCTATGGCTATCCCAGACCGATCGACATACTACTCTCAGCCCAATCCTTAGACACTCCCTGAAGGTGTGGGACGGAGTTCGTACTCCGGCAACCTGATGTCGCTTCATCTCCCTTTACTACCCTGGCTCAACTCTCCATTATTCCCCCCTGGTGTCAGTGACCCTCACTCGTTCGCTTGGTGGTCTCGCAATGATCTGACCACTGTACACTCCCTCATCTGGCTCTCAGGCGTGAAGCCGTTCCAGCAGCTCCGTCGAGAATGACCCTATTCGAGCACTGCTGCAACTCGGATCCGCACGCCCCTGGTGTCATTTCTTTGATCTACTCTTCTCTGCTGACCTCCACTTCTACCACCCTTGCCCCTTATCAGCGCCAGTGGCATGAGGAACTGGGCAGATCCCTTACTCCTGAGGACTGACAGCATACCTGTTCAGCGATGGCTCGTTGCTCCCACAATGTACTCGCACTCGAGAACTCCTACAAAGTGATGTACCGTTGGTATTACACGCCTGCCCGTCTGGCGAAATACATTCCCTCCTACTCTCCGCACTGCTTCCGGGGCTGTGGCGCGCCGGGTACCATGATCCACATTTGGTGGACGTGCCCCCGGGCGGCACACCTCTGGAATCGGGTCTACGATTTACTCAACTCTCTTTTCCAACTCACCTTACCAAAGGAACCATGCGAGGCATTGCTGCTACAGCCAGTTCCGCAGTTGTCGCGTTACCAGAAACACCTTGTGTCCCACATCTTTGTCGCCACCAAAATGACAATCGCCAGAGCGTGGAAAACCCCGACTCTGAGCTTCAGGGAAGTCAAAAATCGCATAGGTGATATACTGGACAACGAGAAACTGACTGCGGTTCTGTCCGACACCCATCACCGCTTCATACTGATTTGGCAACCTTGGATCGATTTCTCTAAACCACCATCCTTCGATCCGCACCTTCTTTCCATTTAGAGGCTCTGTACTTCCCCCCTCCCCCTGGACCCCTTTCCCAGCGCACCACCTTCCCCTGTCCTACTCCCCTCTTGTTCTTTCCCATTCCCGGTCTCTCCCTCCTTCTCTACTTCCGTGGCCTCTTCCTTTTAACCCCTCTGTTGCTCTCCCTACACCGATCTGTGCTGTTTGACGTCCCCCGTACCATCTGAACCGGATGTCTCGGTGTAGGGGACTCCATGATACCCAGAGTCCGGATCTGATCAGCCCCCCCTATGATGCTCCTCTTCATGTCATTTTAGGTCTTACTCACTATAACTGGACAGCACTGCCCCCTTTATACGCCCAAAATGGTCTTTGACACTTGTTCCATTGATTTGTTTTACAGTCTGCAGGGCTCTGCACAATGTTGTGGCTGTATACTTTCAATTTGTGTTCCTTGTTGCGGGGCTTGCACGCCCTATTTCTGTTCTGTTTTTTTTGTAACCTTTATGTGAAAACAAAAAATGATAAAAACCAAATAAAACCTTTGTGAAAGAAGGACAGACCCCACCCCCTTCGTCCTATGATCACTCCTACTACTGCTTTTCCACAAAACTGAAGCATGAAGGGAGTTGGAGTGGTTGTACTGCCTGTTCAACAACTTTTTGTTGTTGCTAGTGTCCAATTCTCCTGAAGGTGGCAACATAACCCAGTAGTCTCAAGAATGACTACTCCCTGTGTCCCATAATGAACCCAGTCCTGCGCAGTTCTCCCCTGCTGAACTACGGAAACACCACCCCCTTTCATCTTCATAACCCCTCCTTGTTTACAGTCTTAGCACCTCCCCATCTCATTAATACCCCCCCCCCCTAACCCCTCCTTCCTTACAGCAACAGCTTTGCATCCTTTCCACACATCTCACCTGCTGTTTCTTTTGCTGAATGGTAACTGTTCAGCGGCCAGCAGTGCCAGTGCTATCTCAGCCCATGCACACATACATTGTTGTTTGTATGCAAAGCGATGCTGCAACATTGATTGCCTCGAACCTCAACACAATGTGTGTATGAAAAGGGCTCTTGGCAGATGTAGTTCTGGGGAAAGAGGTGTGCTTATGTCATTAGGAACCAACCTAGAGCACCTGATGATCTGGAGAGATTAATTTTATAAGCCTGGTAATAATGTCACAGGAAATAGTAAAGCAGCTCCTTGCTACAGTATATAAAGAAATAATTCTGAGGGCAGAGGGAGGTTTGGTGGTAAATTTGGGTCTTGCCTGGAGATGACGTTCACTTCATGTGTGAGGGAGTGGGCGGGGACAGACCAATATCTCACAGAGCGGTGGGCAGAGCGTCGTCTCCCTATGACCGGCATATCCCCGGACCTTAGTAATGTTTTCTTTCTTCAGCCATCACTGACAGTTCCAAGAATGGCCAGAAGAGGCGCCGTCCTGAAGATTCACTCTCGCATGTTCTTCTGGTGGATCCCAACAGTCAGGAATTCCAGGACCACGCTGATAAATTTGGGAGAGAAAAACTTACTCTGGTCAAGGTAATACCAGTTAGTAATCACTGCGGCCATCACTAAGCTGTAGGAGGTATCTCATCAGGATTATACATGTTATAAAATCATTTTCCAGATGGA